AAGCATATGATTTACAGGGTGATTTACAGGCAGGAGAAGGTGGGAGGCAGGGGAAGTGCGTTGTTACCCCATAAACAAAGTGCCCAATTAAGGACTTTTATTTTGTATTGCCAGCTGTTATTTTCATGAAAGCTAATGATTAGAATAGAACAGGCTTTCCAAGTGATATAATCATGATAAAGTTTTAATGAGATTTTTTTTAAAGGTAGACTTTTTTTATTATTAATCACACAATAAAAAAAATTTGCATAATGAATGTACAATTATATATGGATTCATCATTCCCATGGAAATCATACGAAAGGAAGGTACAATCAAATGCAAGTAACTAGGGAAAACAGAAAGGGAGCATTTGACCTTATAAAAGTCAATAATGGTCTGGGCCCCGTAATGTCTGTATATTGCTGTTAGTCAATGGTTCTTATATTTGTAATAAATAAATAAAAATCTAAACTATTTGAGTGTCAGCACTGACTTTCTGTGTAATATATGGGAAATCACAACATTATGAATATAAAAAATCAGCAGTAAGTAAAAAAAAGTATGTATATGCAATAAAGCATGCTTGTTATACTCATTGTAGAACATAAGGGGCTAATCCTCCACATTGTGTACAAAGGATGATTGATCCTGTCTTCTCTGATCCTCCCCTTCATCTACTGTCCCCAATCCATCTGCTGATAGAACAGAGCCTTGGGGGCAAGCTGCACATGCTCAGTTTGGTGTGTCTTACTAGAGAGGTTTTTTTATTTCTTGGGAGGGTGCATGTGATCAGCACAGGGCCAATCAGCAGTGTCCAGACAGAGGGTCAGGGGTTATGCAGCCTCATAGGACAATCAGGGGAGAATGAAAACGCCTCCTACAAGGTTTAACCAGTGCTCTGATGAACACTGATAGAAGTCACAAAACTGTTATATACTGCTGATGAAAAAGGTATTTAGCAGTTTATATTTACTAAAATAATTGCATTTCCATGTTGTGTGTTCTGTGGGAGACCCGATATAGTGAATGCAGGGTACTGGGTTTAGTAACACTTTAAGAATTGTGCTGGAGTGACGTGTGCAGTAAAGCAGTTGAAATGCATGTGGACATTTATTTATTCCTGCTAACAGTCCTCAGGCCATGAATATGTGCATGATCAGGGTTTAGGCCACTTGAAGGTGACACAATACGGGTCCAGAGTCATCTTGGAGGTGTGTTTAAGCCAGTGTACATATAAAATCATTCCATTTAAAGTGGTATTACCATCCATATGAATAACTTTGACATGTCCCTAGCCAGGATGACCATAATTTGTCAAACATTTTTGGACAGCCCCTTGCCTCATCAGTAAATTTATACAACAGTATCGCCTGATTCACAAGCATCTACCAGCTAGAAATGGTGGGAGGATCCAGTGACTTTCACCCTAAATCTATATTTGCATATAGGTATAATAAGTGGAGGAGTATTTAGGTATATCAGAATTAATGTAACCTAAAAGCTTATATGGGATTTTAGAGGATGGGGTTACACCAAGCTATGATTGAGTTCTTTGAATTGCATTGCTGGGCTACATTTTCTTATGTGCCCTGTCTGTGTTAAAAGATCCGTACACCACACAATTCTTATAAGGACCAATAACTGTCTGCAACTAATTGAAAACCAGCTCTTTAATTGTCAACACCCTAGCTTTGTTCTATTAATTTGAAGTGTTTAGAGCACAGGCAGTTGTTGCTGATAGACTGTTGTGTTGTGCTTAAAGTGTTACTAAACCCAAGACCCCGCATTCACTATATCTGGTCTCCCAGGACCCCGCATTCACTATATCTGGTCTCCACAGTACACACAACATGGAAATGCAATTGTTTTAATAAAGATAAACTGCTAAATACCTTTTCTCATCAGCAGTTAGATCAGTCTTGTGTCTTCTATCAGTGTTCTGCAGAGCAGAACTGGTTAAAGCTAGTAGGAGGAGTTTTCTTTCTGCTCTAGGAGGATGCAGAACCCCTGGCCTCTGTCTGGACAGTGCTGATTGGACCTGTACTGATCACATGCACTCTCCCAAGAACAAAAAACTCTCTAGCAATACATACCAAACTGAGCATGTGCACAAAATATGTCTTATCAGGAGATAAGAGGGGGGCCCTGGGAGAAGGGGAGGATCAGAGAAGTCAGGATCAAACAGCATTTTTACACAATGCAGAGGAACCCCTTAGGTTCCACAGTGAGTATAACAAGCATGCTTTACTGCTTATACAGACTGATTTTACTGTTGTGGGTTTAGTAACACTTTTAGGGTTACATGCACTTTGCAGCATATTAATAGTTCACGATTTACTGACAGAAGATCACAGTGCAGAACACTCTCCTCCTCCTTCTCTTTACTTTCTATGTAGTGGTCACAAAAGAGCAGAAAACTTCAGAGTCCCCCAAGAATAAAAGCCCCATATGATACAATCTCTAAGCATAGGCATTACTCACACAGGGTGGTCCTTTCTCGTAAACAAAGGGAGATCCCCCATAAGCCCGGGGCCACTCTAAGTCAAGCTATGGGACCCATTAGGCAAGCGATTGAAAGGAAAAAAAAACAGACTGATTTTACTGTTGTGGGTTTAGTAACACTTTAAGATATATATAGTGTATATATATATATATATATATATATATTATTTTGTAATTTTCTCAGTCTGACATATATCATTAGTCAGTTTTTCTTTGAGTATTTGAGAGGACTCATCTATAACAAATGCCTTGGAACCATTTACACAAGCTGTCCTCTAAAACAATGAACTACTGTTGTATTTTGGGCTAAAGTCAGTTGATAGTTAAATGCTTCTATTGTCCTACATTAATTATGTGACTGAAGTCAGCAAGTCAGAAAACCCATAGTCAACAGTAGCTTGACCTTTTGACATATATGACTTATGGCGTGTATGATATAACATTAACATCTAGAGGGTGAGTTGGAAAATGTTGGCCCATACAAAGTTAAGGCAGAAAAGGATATGCCCATATGGGATTGTCTACCTAAACTTTCCAAATAAAAGGCAACAACATAAGCTGATACTATGACTTTATAATGACATAACACCAAGGAAGGTCTGTGTCAGAAGGAACTTCACCTAATGACATTTTCACCTGGTTTCCTGCAACTGCTTGGAGAGCAAGCCCAGGGTCCTGGTTGCCTACAGAGATTGTGAAGCTGCTATAACCCGAGCAAAGGAACTTTTTAGCGTATTTCTATTATATGCAGACCATAGTTGTATGTATATCTTTCAGTCTTGTATTGTATTCCTATAATTTTAATAGTTTGTATGTACAGCATTTTTGTTTAGTAACAGCACATCAATACTCTACAGAGGTTTCTAAGCTTTCATGCTTGTACCGTAAAGTGACTTTAGTAGACGCAAAGCAAAACAACTGTTTAAGAACTGACTTTTTTGCAGCACCTCACTGTAGCCTTTGTAAAAAACGTAAAAGCACTGTGCACCCACTACTCTACCCCCCATCCCAGGTGCAGTGCAACCCCCTGCTGTACCCCCATATACAGGGCCAGCTCTACCACTAGGCGAACTAGGCAGCCATCTAGGGCACATTGCCGCCACAGCCACTGGTTTCCCTACTCTCCTGCTTGCTGAGAATAGAGTGTTTTTTACCTCTGGTTTTATGTTCACTTTGCTTTTTCTACATTATTTAATTGAATTGTTGCAAAAATTGTCACACAGGATGTATTTACCAGTGCCAGGATTATAGGCACCTTACCATGGGAGTGGAATTTTAATATATTTTATCTAGAACCGTGGTTCTTAATAAATACTGCACTTACAGTGAAGGAAATAAGTATTTGATCCCCTGCTGATTTTGAATGTTTGCCCACTCACAAAGAAATGATGAGTCTAAAAATCGTATGGTAGGTGTATTGTACCACTGAGAGACAGAATAGCAACAAAAAATTCAAAAGAAATGCACGTCTAGCAAATTATGCACTGATTTACATATTCATGAGGGAAATAAGTATTTGATCTCCTATCATACATCATGTTTTCTGACTACCAGGTGTCTTTCATACAGGTAACAAGCTGAGATTAGAAGCAGTCTCTTAAAGGGAGTGCTGCTAATCTCATTTTGTTACCTGTATAAAAGACACCTGTCCACAGGAGCAATCAAACAATCAGATTCCAAACTCTCCACCATGGCAAAGACCAAAGAGCTGTCCAAGGATGTCAGGGACAAGATTGCAGACCTACACAGCAAGGGATCAAATACTTATTTCCTTCACTGTAGATGCTTTTTTCATGGATATTCATTGTTTTATTGAGCCCATTTGAAAGATATTATTGAATGAAGGGGAGTCTGGAGATCCATCTCACGAGAGAACATGCTTGGGGGACCTAGTGCAGTTTGACCATCCTAACAGGGGGTCAAAACCCTTTAGTGAGTGTGAAATTTAATTATCTAACACCAGTGGTGAAGAAGATTGGTTTGGAATACTGGCATGATCCAGCATCCTCCTAAAAATACTTTATTTGTTTTTTTATGGTGTTGGGAAATGCACTTTATTGGACTCTTTTTAATACTTTGTTTATAATTGTATGTTTAACAAGAGCTTTTCTACATATCACATTCTGCAAAAAAATGCCATGCTGGTATCTTAGTCCACCTAGCCGCTGCTGTGCCCATAAGTAGTGGTATACAGTAGTTTGCTTCCAGGCCTCTAGAAGGAGCAGAGAGCTCCAAGCATGTAGTCTGTCCTCCAAGGCACCTGACCTTCCCCCTGTGACATCTCGTCCGCCTCGCATGTGTTCCAAGTTAACCCAACCACTTCCAGTTGTCTGGCAGCATTCTGGCATCTTTCTGTCTCTTCATCCACAGCTCCAGACCCACGCTTGCTGATCCTTAAAACGGGAAGGACTGATGGTGACCATTATCAATGATAAGCGACATTTTATTTCTTTCTTGTGAGTGTTTAACACTGCTTGGTAATTAAAATGGTCTTATAATACTGCACTTAGTGGCACCTCTCCCTGTCTTTTTCTTGTCTTCCACATGCAGAGCTGGCATACTCTGATGATGGCTGCCACTCAGGGGTGGACTGACAAATCATGGGGCCCCCGGGCAATAGGGGATCATGGGGCCCCTGTGTCCTTGCCCAAACTCAAAAAAGCCTATGAAAAAGGTACCAAGGGCATCTCATGGGGCCCCCTACTGACCCCGGGCCCTCGGGCAGTGCCCGAGTTTCTAAATGGTCATTCCGCCCCTGCTGCCACTCATGTGGCTGGTTATTAATAGGGAGGGTGCAAGTAGCAGGTCTTGCCTAAAGCACACCGGCCCTGCCCATATACTTAATTTTTCTAAACATCAGAGCTACAGCCCTAAGGCATGGATTGGTAAAAGTCAGGTGTTCTGCTACACTAGAAATAAAGTGTATCATCTCAGAGACACTGAGGAAACTAACAGCAGCAGGGCAGCAGATTGAAGAAGTAAAATGCTTGGACACAAGCAAGGTGTTAAAAATAAAAATGTACTCTTCCATCGACACCAGAAATAATTGACCAGCAGCAAAGTGATAGTTGGTTGTATCAAGGAAGAATAGTCCACACTTTGCGTAAACAAGTAAGGCATGTGTGTTTTCTACAACCAAAGTGACAGTGCAGTATACCAAATACACTTATGAAAAAAAAAAACTATGCAGAAGCAGGACAATACATAAGTTGTTGGGATAGACCACAATGTCTAAATACAAGACTGAGTTTTGTCAGCAATCTCCTTTTTAAGCACGAAGAAAGGATGGCAGTGTACTTGGGGACTGCAGCAAAGCCCATCACTGCTTGTGAGCTGCACTGGTGAATACCAGGTGGCTCTTTGGACTCTCAGGTCTTAAAGCCAAGCTCAAATCTCCCCCAGAAAAATTAAAAGTCAGCAGCTACAAATCCTGTAGCTGCTGACTTTTAATTTAAGGACACTTACCTTGTCCAGGTATCCAGCAATGTGTTCACCTGAGCCGATTCTTCAATTGACTTAGGGAGCGAGGGCATGGCAACTCAAGTAAGGGAAATCACCAGTGAAGCCTTCATAGCTGGTTTTCTATTGCACATGCGCAAAGTGTGCTCCACTTTGTTAATGGTTCCACAGTCTTCTGGGAACTGTGAAGTGATGTGACCTGGAAGTGGGAACGGGCACCTGTCAAAACCAGGTACCCACTCCCCTTTTCCTCTTTCCCACCCAAAGAATGTCAAATGTGGCAGTGGAGGGGGGGGAGGTTACAGATAAGCGGAACTTTCCCTTTTGGGTGAAGTTCTTTTTTTAAGCAAATGAATCATTGGTACCGCAATTTCAAGATAAACAAAGCACAGGCCTAAATGTTGAGACACACATGAAGAGACAGATGGTACAGAGAGTTCTTTAAAAAAAATTGGATTTGATGGATGAATGAATTTTTTGCCGAAGGGAAAGAGGTGAAGGAGAAGAAGAAGGAGAGGTGCTCGGAGGCTCAAAAAATTTCAGCACCAGCAAGAATAACAGAGGAAAGTATTTGCTCTTTTCTTAGTTAAACATCTAAAAATAAATGTATTTATTGTATTGTATTGTATTGTATTGTATTTGTAACATCTGAAGTTTGCTTGTCCTCATGGACCAAGGTCTTAGTTTAAAAAAAAATGACAAAACAGCAATAACTGTGCATCAGCTTCATGCATTACCTTTTTGCTCAATTTATTTATAAAAAATACACATCTACTTATGCTCACAAACTAACTACAATCACAAGCTCAGTAATGTCGCTAGGACACCAGCTTCTTTACAGACCAAGAACAATCAGAATAGGCTGGACCAGGGGCGGACTGACAACTCATGGGGCCCCTGGGCAATAGGGGATCATGGGGCCCCTGTGTCCTTGCCCAAACTCAAAAAAGCCTATGAAAAAGGTACTAGGGGCATCTCATGGGGCCCCCTATTGACCCCGGGCCCTCGGGCAGTGCCCGAGTTTCCAAATGGTCAGTCCGCCCCTGGGCTGGACAACACTCCATGGCAGGAACAAGATCTGAAGTGTTTCAAGGGGTATACCCTCTTCCTCAGAGGTCTGCATATCTGCCCGTGTTTCCCTGACAATGGCAAGGATAGCCTTACGTGGAAAAATAAAACAATAAAAAATATTTTAAAACATTTTTAAAGATCACTGGACAACAATTATTTTGCTTCCTGAACACTTTTGAGCTTTTCTTATAGATTTTCGGCTGCTAATCGTGAAAATAACCTGTAAATTAACCTATCTCGTTTTATAGAAATCTTCTGTTTTTGCTTCTTATATATATTTTTTAATTTACTAACTCATGCATGTCCAGGCATGCTCTCAGGGAATCTTGCATAGTATTTGTGGACCTGGTATATTTTAGGCATGCTTAGGCTGGATCAGGGGTGGACTGACAACTCATGGGGCCCCCGGGCAATAGGGGATCATGGGGCCCCTGTGTCCTTGCCCAAACTCAAAAAAAGACTATGAAAAAGGTACCAGGGGCATCTCATGGGGCCCCCTACTGACCCCAGGCCCTTGGGCAGTGCCCGAGATTCCAAATGGTCAGTCCGCCCCTGGGCTGGATGGATGCTGCCATAAATTCAGCTTGCATGCACAGGTGCTACTTATTTCATTGATGTCAGATTCCATGTATTCTGATGTGATTGTTTCAAGGCATAGCACTGTCTAGGTACATTTAATTTACATAGTAAGCAAGCCAGTTATGAACTTCCTATAGGATCATTGGTGATAGTAAAAGTGAAAAGAATAGTAGGAAGCAGGGGTGGACTGACAATTCATGGGGCCCCCGGGCAATAGGGGATCATGGGGCCCCTGTGTCCTTGCCCAAACTCAAAAAAGCCTATAAAAAGGTACCAGGGCCATCTCATGGGGCCCCCTACTGACCCTGAGCCCTCGGGCAGTGCCCGAGTTCTCAAATGTTCAGTCCACCCCTGGTAGGAAGCATCACTAAAGGGGTCACCAGCAGAAGGAAGGAGGTTCTGACTCCCCTATAGGGATCTTTAGACCTCATCTAGAATACTGTGTCCAGTTCTAGAGACTTCGTTTATAAAAAGTTATTGATAAGAACAAGTCCAGAGACGGGTAACAAAATGGTGAAAGGTCTAAGGGATAAAACATCAGGAAAGACTTCAATAACTTAACGGGGTGACAAATGTTTAGGAGGGCAGGATTTTTAATATGAAGCCAAGATCAAGAACACAGCGCCATGACCTCAAACTGGCAGGAGGAAAGTTCAAAAGTAATCTTAGAAAATAATATTTTCCAAAAGGATAGTTGACACCTGAAATAGACTTCCAGCAGTGGCAGTGAGTCAGGCAACAGTAAGTGGCTTCAAACATGCTGGGGACAAACAGAGAGATCTATACTCAAGCAAAAAACCCAGAAAAATATAAAAACATGTACAAATTAAAAAAAAAAAAGGGGGCAGACTTGATGGATCACTTGGTATTTTTTCTGTCGTCACTTTTCTCTATTTCTACGAACATTGAAAAAAAAAAAAACTCTCCAGATTCATGCGATGAATACCAGTAATGCACCAGTAACTGTGGAACAAACTACTTGCCAATGTCAGGCATTTACTTCTTAGAGATCAGGTCCATGACATACGTGTTTCTCGTATCCAATTTGCTGATTTAGTTTGATGTTCAACATCTAGTCTGCTTTACATATTAATTTAAATCTCTAATAGTGGGGTTTGTTCAATTATATAATGGTATAAACATTACGGGCATGGTCGCAGAGGAAATCAATATGGATTGTAAGATGGTAATTGGAGTGACCCCAGAGTGACAAAACAAAACACGTTCAGAGTAGCACATCGGAATACAGAGGTGAGCTGAGAAAATGGAGATGGATTCTGCAATCATTCAGATTCTCATTAAGCAATATCACAGACAAACCGCAGTACACACTATGAAAAGTGTCCTCAGTGTGCAGTGATGCTGATAGATAGAGGCAACAAATGAAGGACTGAATTCAAATGAAAGAAAAACTCCACAAAGCATCAAAACTGACTACATACTGGATCCTTAGCCCACAGTAACAACAGCTTACCTTGTGCTACATGTGTCCGTCGCAGTGATACAAGGGTTGGGGTAGTCTCAGGCAGCATACAGTCCACTGATTCCCAATGATTTTAATGCATGGCTGACACAAAAATGCATTATTCTGGTTGTCAGCTGAAGGAAAGCAGTTTATTTTATTTTAAAAACGTTACATTGTACAAAAATTGTTTATATCCAGCTCCAGCCAATACATTTGACGCAGCTTCTAAAGGGTATATATCAGGTGATAAGTATAAAGGCCTGAATCCGGACCAAATTAGGTGCAATAAAAACCCAGACCAAACTAAGTGCAATATAGATTGTGATGAAATACAACATGAACAATAATCACCAAGTGAACATAAATAATACATAAAATTGTAAAGGCCTAAACCCAGACCAAACTAAGTGCAATATAGATTGTGATGAAATACAACATGAACAATAATCAGCAAGTGAACATAAATAATGTATTCAACATAATAGGACTAACACGTCCTAAATAAAAGTGCACAAAAAGCGCTGTGCAAAGAAAAATGTGCCAAAATCAAAAAGCAAAAAAATATATGTGTAAAACTTATCATACAGGGTGCATGAAACTAAAATTACACCTTATAATCAGGATTGATGCCAGTGAAAAACGCACAGTAGAAATAAATGTGCGTCAATAAGCACAAAAAAAATAATTAAATCAACATTGGAAAGATTGTTAGAAGCACGGGGGGGGATGGGAAGCACGGAATTGCAAAAATATATAAGATATTTACTGAGTTAGACACTGACACAAAATTAATATATATAGAGAAATGGGAAAGGGATATGGGAAGGAAATAGATGAGGAGGAGCAGAGGAAAATGTTTAGATTAACTCACGAAAATATCAGTATGCGGGAAGTGGAATTAAATTATAAGTGTTTGGTAAGATGGCAGATCACACCAAATGTAGAGCATAAATTGAATGGGGAGATCTCACCATTGTGTTGGAGAGGGTGTGGAGAGGTGGGCACGTTATATCATATACTGTATGGTGGGAGTGTTCAAGAATACAAGTGTTTTGGCGGAAAATAGTTTATTTAGTAAGGAAAATTACCGAAATTAATATTAGATTAGACCCAGAGTTATGTCTTCTCCATATCACAGAGCTTCCAGTGAGATTATATAAGGATTCAAGGATGTGGCACTTTTTGAGTGCAGCGAAGAGTTTGATACCTAGGTTTTGGAAAAAAAAGGAGGTTGCCGACAAAGGAGGATTGGATGGTTAGAATGAATCAGATCTGTGGGACGGAAAGTTTCTATTATATGCATATAGATAAGATGGAGATGTATAATATAAAGTGGAAAAAATGGGAAGAGTATAGAGAAGAAGTGAAATACATGAGGATGTAACACCCCTTGAAATGGATTTTAGAAATAATAGAAATGTTTGGTGTAGTGGAAAAGAGGGAAAACGCAGAGTGGGGGGGGGAGGGGTGGTGAAGGGAGGGGGGAGGAGGAGGGGGGGAAGAAGGAGGGATGGGGAGTGGGATTTAGATAAATTATGCTAATAGGAAGATATTGTTTGGATGTCTTTTTAATTGAAAAAGCTGATTGTGATTTGTACTTCGTTGATAAATTAATAAACATTTATAAAAATAAAAATAAAAAAATCAACGTGACATATAACAAATAATAAGAGACCATCAAAATAAACATAAGTGATCATCAATTCGGCATAAAGTTCATGTAAATAGACCGCCAACTCCAAACGAACAAAGCAACTGGGTGAAATGAATTATAAATCCGTCACCGGCTAAAATGCCTCCTCACCTCCACGCCAAGACCCCAAGGGGCCACACAGCTTTCAGGCCTCACACTCTCAGGGCCCTTAATAGATATTCAAGATGATAGAATCACACCGATCACAGGAATATGGCCTTCCTTACCGTATAACCGTAATCATGTCATTAGTGTGAAACCGGTAATCCTTTTCACAGGAACATCAGCAGCTCAGACGCACCTCAGAGGAAAAAGAGAGAGCACGCCTGTAGTGTAGTAATTTTACAGCAAAAACTTTAATGGAGAAATGTCAAAATGAACAATTACATCACATTAGTTGAAATCAGACCTCAAACACATGTATTGATATGGGTTTATATTTCCAGGGTATACCAAAATGGCGGCGACCATCACCACGCTGCGCTAACAGACCCACGCGTTACGTCACTGTCCCGTGACTTCATCATCTGTCTCCCCACTCTTCATCCTCAGTACTATTGATATTAGCGCAACAACATTTTATTTGTTTTGTTTCCTTGTGATAGTGGTGTCTAGGTCTAGGTGTTTGCACCTTTTTTCAATAGTCCTATCTATACCTATAGCAGCGCAGAAGGTTTTTTCTATTATTTTTATATAGCAGGTGCTATCTTTTTTACCTGCAAGCCAATATAAAATATATATATATATATGCTAAAAGAATTATACATGTGCTAAAGATGATTTAATTGTAGTGCCAAAACATTTTATATTATACTGTGTAGCTGCCCCTGTAAATGTGATACACTTATACTAAAAAAAACAATAATAAAGAAAGACGCTTCACATAAAAGCATTCGTATAACAAAAAAAAATTGAATACATTAAATAGCATCAAAGTATATATAAGTCCAAAACATAAGTCCAACTTTTGCTCAAATGCTTCCCAACACCATGCATAGATAACCGTGTTTGGGTGGTCACTACCTCTTTCTTTGTTAAACCACTGAAAACAATTGTTCCACCACATGCTCAACAAATGCGTACTCATCGTGACAAAATGACCTCTTTGTATGAGAAGGTCATTTAACGCTTTTCCAACCTCTGGTAAGCGCTAAGGTACTAGAGCGGCAGTAGTCCTTCATAAGTATCTCATCTCTCCCAAGCAGCAATCAAACTAGCACCAAAAAGAAATATAGTTTTCAGAGAGCAGCATTTATTTTAAAGTAGCATGAATAGATAAAAGACAATCAGACGCTCACATCTAAAAATTCTCAGCACCAATGTACACAGCCTTTGAATACCACTCTACCACATCATTTTCACTTTCAAGCCAGGAGCTGGCTGAAGAAAACCCACACAGCAGCAGCCATTAGCTTGTGATTAAAGGGTCACTCTTGGACGTACTACAGTATGTACCTCCAAAGAGCTATACTAGTTAAACCAAAAAAAAAATTAGGTTGAAATTTGGCTTTCATAAATTATATTTATGGCTTTTCCAATAAAAGATATAACAACATTTTTATTTGGAATTAAATTAGAAATTTAGAAGTCAGAAGTCTTTTATTTTCTAAAGTGCTGTGTATCATAAAAAGTTACCATTTCTGTTTTTATTTAAAAAAATGTTTTTACCTTTGATCTCATGTTATGGGACTTCTTTGTGAATTCTTTCTGCCTACATGCACTCCAATGATGGCTGCATGATATTTGTTGAGACAGTTTTCCTGAAGGTGACAACAGTCGATTATGACTCAGGGTCGGACTGACAACTCATGGGGCCCCGGGGCAATAGGGGATCATGGGGCCCCTGTGTCCTTGCCCAAACTCAAAAAAGCCTATGAAAAAGGTACCAGGGGCATCTCATGGGGCCCCCTACTGACCCCGGGACCTCGGGCAGTGCCCGAGCTTCCATATGGTCAGTCCGCCCCATATGACTACATAATGAATGTAGATACAACCACCTGTAGTCTCCTTTGGTAGCCCATGTGACAGGGTGATAACAAAAAAAGCATGATTGGGAGATATGGACTGAGTGTTGTTACCCTGTAACAGTCTGTGCCTGAACATGGCAGGATCATTAGGTATTATTTTTAAAAATCTGCAGATCTAAAAATATTAAAAGTTACTTTTGAAATTACAATAACATGTCAAATCTTAAAAAAAAAAAAGTTACAGATTGGGTTTACATATAAAGTATGTCTTAATGGAAAACAGAAAGAATCACTTTGACAGATGGATATCTCTATGCACAGACAGACAAGAGCTTACCTGGTCACCAACACCTTCAATGACAATATTATCAATTTGCTCCTCGTAAGACCTCCTGCTCTCTAGACATACACTTTGAGATACATCTCCAGGTCGGTCCACTTACATCTGCTAAAACACCAGGTGCCAGTCCAGCTCACAACTGTAGCTTTCAAGTGAGAAATGTAGAATGACTGCACTCCTGTTGACATCCACTTCTTGACCATAGAATCGCCATAAAATCAAGCAAAAGGCAGCATGGGACATGATCTCATCTCTCTTGCTGCATTCTAACTACATTTTTCACTTAAATCCTCTTTGTAAGGGGGTGTTAGTTCAAATTTCCAGTTTGACCATTAGGTAGTTTTTTTCTTGCTCTACACACACACACACACACGCTAAGTGGTTAGCACTTTCGCCTAGCAGCATTAGGGTCATTGGTTCGATTCCCAACCATGGGACTCCTGCCTGGAGTCTGCATGTTCTCCCTGTGCCTGGGTGGGTTTCCCCCCACACTCCAAAGAAGACATGCTGGTAGGTTAACGGTCTAAATTGGCCCTGGTATGAATATATATGAATGTGAGTTAGGGACCTTAGATTAGATGCCAGGACTGGGAAAGTGCCAATGATTACTACCAGAACTGGAGAAGCTGTATGCTCTAAGGTTATGTGCCCTGAAGATATCATCTTTGAAGTTGGAAAAGTAAAGTTTTGAAAATTTATTGGACTCACCTCTTCTTGTTACTTGTGGCCTCTGGAACTGGTACCTAGCTCAGCCAGGAAAAATGCAGGGTGAGATGTGGAGCATTGGATGGTACATGTACAGCTTCCTCCGGCAACAGGGACTCCAACTATCATGTAACTAGGTCCGTTAGTGGTACCCAGAAAGGAAAAGTAAAGTCCACGTTCTAATGACCTTGCCTACATTTTGCTCTCTAGTTTCTTTTTCATGTCGAGGACTTCTCCAGTGACCCCCCCCCCCCCCCCCCCCGGTCTGGAACTCCCTATGGCTTTCTCCTACTCCACCTTCAAGCAGTCCCAGAAAACTCATCTTTTCAGGCAAACCTATCCCACCTCCACCTGAAAACTAGTTCTACTTTCTCCATCAGTTCAGTTCATCCCTCACAGTTGTTTTATTTTTGTATCACTTTCTTCTTCCTTTGGATTGTAAGCTTTGATGACCAGGGACCTTCTAACCCTCTTGTATTGACTTGCATTTTAACTGTACTGTCTCCTATTGTTTGTAGTAGGATGCACAAAATGTTAGCGATATATAAATCTTGTATAATAATTAAACACCCCACACCATTGCTTCTTATTTAAATTTAGGAGCTTTTGCATGACAATAATGAATGCAGGAATTGAGTAATGTTTCCCTCTGTACAATGGAGGTCATTGGCCATGTTTAACCAAGGCTAAACATGGCACCTGCATACGAGATACATGTGTGGTCAACCGTAAAAATCCTAGCGTATGACAGACAATTCTAGGGATACTGTGTGTATATGAAACCGTATGTCCAATCGAAAATGGACCGTCAGCTTCAGGTTGTCAATAACAGTTTGATAAAAAGCCACACAACAGAATGCATGCTGGGAGAAAATACAGTGCCGAGCCGTGCGCACCCTATAATTTAATGTTGTAGTGCTTTCTCATCCATACGTGTACACCCTGCTGTCACAGCACGTTCCTTTCCATTCCCTAATGTCTAGGAGTACCTCAGCTCTTTTGCAATTTCAATCTCTGATTCATTTTCAAGTGCGGCCGAGTCCAGGGGAACATGATATTATGTAGCACATTTAAAATTCTAATGTCAGGGGTCATTAATCATGGTTGTGTTTATCTGTGAGGCACAATATTTACATGCAGTTGGTATCTGCGAAGAGGAATCCATTTTGAAAGTCTAATCTGTGATTTATTCCCCTCGTGACATGACTGACATTATTATAAGCATCAAAAATTACCTTTGAGAGCCTTATTTACATGTATTATATGCCACACGTTGGTCTGCGTTCTGTATTCTGCGCCTGAAATGTAGAGTGTGAGGAGCTTGATGTGGAAACTGAAGTAAACATATTCTTTATGTCTAAGATGATTGAGAAGATAGGCTTATTAACGGAAAGGTCACCATTTCTTTGCAAAGTGCTTCGAAAATTGTAATGATGAGTTCAGTTTAATATATTCTTGTATAATACACTTCCTATATTAAAGGAAACCTGTGAGCCATACTTATGTGAAACTTATAAAAGCCTGCAAAACTTATAAAAGCAAATAGTCTACCTTTGAGCAGATGCCGCCATCTGTCCGTCTTCCCTTAGTTGGCAGAAAAGTGTGGCCCTTTGATAATAGTTTCACTTTTTTTTACTTGGGCAATCCAAATAAACACACGAATCCAGCGCTCAAATCTTCATGCTGACTGGGATTACTGTAACTGTCATTCATTGAGGTGCAGCCCTTAGAAGATTGGGAAATCTTGATACCGGTAAACAAAAGCAAAACAGGGCGCACTCTCTTCGCGTATTACCGTGGTGTAACACGAGTTTATTTGAAAGTATAAAAATGCATACTCACAAACCAAAGGGGGATAAAAACAGAGATAGAGTCCGTGATGACGGTCCAAAGTGACGGTAGACCCTTGGTGAGGTAGGCTAACGCATTTCGGGAGGTGTACTCCCTTCTTCAGGGCTCTGACTCTATATCTCTGTTTTTATCCCCCTTTGGTTTGTGAGTATGCACTTTTATGCTTTCAAATAAACTTGTGTTTCACCACGGTAATGCATGAAGAGACTGCACCCTGTTTTGCTTTTCTTCATTTTTTTTCTTTTACTTGGACCTGACCTGCCTGACCAATGAGAGCACCCCTGTGGCCAATATAGGCTTTTTTAATTGGGTAGTATATCGGTCAGTTGTGGGTACCTCTGGTTATGGAGGAGCACGTGACTTACTCTATATCAGTGGTTCTCAACCTTCCTAATGCCGCGACCCTTTAATACAGTTCCTCATGTTGTGGTGACCCCCAACCATAAAATTATTTTCGTTGCTACTTCATAACTGTAATTTTGCAGTGGGAGGAGTAGTGCCACATCATTGGTGTCAGTGAGAGGAGTAGTGCCACATCACTAATGTCAGTGGGAGGAATAGTGTCCCATCGTTGGTATCAGTGGGAGGAATAGTGTCCCATCATTGGTATTAGTGGGAGGAATAGTGCCCCATCATTGGTATCAGTGGGAGGAATAGTGCCCCATCATTGGTATCAGTGGGAGGAATAGTGCCCCATCATTGGTGTCAGTGTGGGAGGAATAGTGCCCCATCATTGGTGTCAGTGGAGGGGGAATAGTGTCAGTGGAGGGGGAATAGTGCCCCATCATTGATACTAGTGTGGGGGGGCATTGTGCCCCATCATTAGTGTCAGTGGGGGGGGATAGTGCCCCATCGTTGGTGTCAGTGGGGGGAGGAATAGTGCCCCATCATTGGTATCAGTGGGGGGAGGAATAGTTCCCCATCGTTGGTGTCAGTAGGCGGGGGGAGGAGATAGTGCCCCATCATTGGGCACTATTCCTCCTACTGACACCAATGATACTTACCTTGCTGGCTCCTGCTCCAGCATGGGCTCGCTCCCTCCCTCTCCCATCTACAGCCAGCATACCTGGCTGCAGCAGCACCATCTGCATGCTACAGACACTTACCTGTCAGCTGTCTTCCTTCTCCGGCCGCACCCTTGCTCGATCTTCTTTGATCTTCTCGCTGCTGCTCGGCTCCTCCTCCTCGCCAGTGATTGGCCGCCTGTGTGCCTATCCTGAGCTACAGTTTCGGCGGCCAATCACTGGCAAGGAGGCGGAGCTGTTGAGTGATCCCGGGGATGTGGCCAGATGACAGGGGCAGCATGTCATCCCGCGCACACATCGCGGTCCAAGGAAATGTGGACGTATCTGCATGTGGGCGGACCCGCCTGGAGACGGATAGAGGAGCGGTGTCTCGGTTCCTAAGACCATCGGAAATATGTGTTTTCCGATGGTCTTAGAAGACCCCTGTGAAAGGGTTGTTCGACCCCCAAAGGGGTTGCGACCTACAGGTTGAGAACCGCTGCTCTATATAATGGCCCTGGATCAGTCACCCAACACCAGCTACATCACATGGGGAAAGTCTATAGCCTTTTGTAAGCTATGGCTTTCTAGGTGGCTTCCTCTGCTCTTGGCACCTGAATAGGTCTAAGGAAAGGTGTACTGGGTATTATTTCACTCTCATTGTCTGAATGCAGTGGCAGGTCACTAAAGAAAAGCTGACTGATGTGCTGCTGAGTAGGGGACAATCTGCAAGGGCAAACCACATGTTTGTTTTAAAACATTTGTGAACCCAATTTCTAAAATGTCTTATAGACTTCAATATGCTAATAACATTTCTGAAATGTTTAAAGCAGAACATTACTCACCTGTTTTCCAGCGCATCATCAGCCCCATGGCTCAAGGTATCAATCTCTGGCTATTTCCATTGACAGGGCTGAAATGACATCACTCCTGCAATGAAGCCCTCCATTCTGCCATTGCCAGACGTTAGCAGTGATCCCCTAGTGGCTGCTATAACTCATTCAAAAAGTGTGCTCCCTTAGCTCAGCTTACTGAAAGAATGAACTGTGCATGCCTGGTGTTTGAATGAGCCAGAGCAGCCATTGGGGGGGGGGGGGGGGCACTGCTAATGCATGCCTTGCTATTCTTGCCATCAAGGAAGGACAATGGGGAGGGTCAACTACTAAACAGATTTTTCAGACAAGCTACGCACAGCCTACATCTTAGGAGGGAAAAAGAAGCATTAACTGAATGCAATGCTTTCTGTGTTTGGAGGAGGGACGATCATGACATCCATGGGTCCTCCAATCACAGAAAGCCTTACATTTAGCAAAAATAATACAAAGCATTTTCTGGAGAAGGAATCCAAAAAGCTACTACAAGTCTCAGCATTGGGCATTTGGCGCTTAAAGTACTGTAGGGACTGAATGAAAGTAACAGTTCCACTGAAACCAGGAGCATCCAAACATGAGACAGGCATCAACAGAGGTTCTTTCATTTTAGACAGCAAATGGCCCAAAGTAGTTTTTTCTGGAGTGCAGCTTTAAATCTAAAATTACAAGAAAAGTATGGACTTATTTGTTTTTCCCCAATTATACCTACCTAGGTGGATGCAGCATCGGTCCAATGCTGCATCTGTCCCCCGCCGGCTCTAGGTGTGAGAACTCAGCGATCACATGACCATTGATCGCTGAGTTCTCACAGATGCTCTGAGTGGTGACTGTCAGTCTGCTGTCTGATGTGCCAGCCTACAGAGCACAGCTCAACTCCAACACTTCCCCTTCCTGCTCTCTCGTCACTGGCTGTGATTGACAGCAGCAGGAGTCAATGACTTCCACTGCTCTCTCTGAGCCAATGAGGAGGGAGAGAGCTGAGAGAGCCGCTTATCACTGGGTCGAGATCTGGCCTAGGTAAGTATAGGGTGGGGTCAGGGGCAGACTGACAACTCATGGGGCTCCCGGGCAATAGGGGATCATGGGGCGCCTGTGTCCTTGCCCAAACTCAAAAAATCCTATGAAAAAAGTTCCAGGGGAATATCATGGGGCCCCCAGGCAATAGGGGATCATGGGGCGCCTGTGTCCTTGCCCAACTCAAAAAAGCCTAAGAAAAAGGTACCAGGGGAATCTCATGGGGCCCCCTACTGATCCCGGACCCTCGGGCAGTGCCCGAGTTTCCAAATGGTCAGTCCGCCTCTGGGTGGGGCTGGGAGGGAACTGCATGCAGAAAGTTTTTCACCTTCAAGTGCGGAATGCATTAAGGTTGAGCAACACAATGGCTAAATGGGTAACACTTCCACCTGGCAGTACTAGGGTTGTTGGTTTGATTCCCAACCACAGAACCACCTGCCTGGAGTTTGCATGTTCTCTCTGTGCCTGCATGGGTTTCCTCTAGGTACTCTGGTTTCCTCCCACATTCCAAAGACATGCTGATAGGTTGATTGGATCCTGTCTAAATTGGCCCTAGTATGTGTATGAATGTGAGTTAGGGACCTTAGATTATACACGCTTTGAGGGTTAGGGACTGATGTGAATGTACAATATATATGTAAAGCGCTGTGTAAATTGACGACGCTATATAAATACCTGAAATAATAATAAATTAAGGTAAAAGAAAAAAACATCTGCCTTTAGAACCAATTTAAGATGGGTTTATGTTTCATTAAGACATTTATTAAAGTGAAGGCTTAGAATCCAACAAAAGCTGTGACCTTGCCCACACAAAAAAAATGTCTTAAGTGTTATTTTTGAAGAAGAAAAGTTTTTGCACAAAAAAAGGGGTTTAAAGTGTGCCATGAAGGGTTGGAACACCTTGGTATCTCAGCAGTCATGTGCTGTAAATGGCTACATTTCCCTATGACATCCAAACCATTTTCAGCTTTTATTACTTTGGAGGAGTCAGACCAGCTAAAGATGATTTCAAATAGTTGGCGTGGCTATCTACACTTTGCACATTGCTCGTTGTCTTTTTAAATGAAGGTTTCTATGTAAGATAGAAAATATAGAAGCCGCAGGTGATATATGTGATTCATCCATGTAATCCCACAAAACCGTAAACGCATTGATTCTGTGTCATCTGCACCAGCAGTACCGTCATCTCAGGAAAACATTCCTCTATAGTGCCACTTTCCCGAGACGAGTAACTGCCACTTGTCCTTAGGCGCGCTCTATTGATGTCTGCTTTACTTTAATTGTTTGGCAATGTTTAGAGATAATTGAAGATCATATTGCAACTAGTTTCTTAATGACTGCATTGCTTTGATAAATGGACATGTCATTTTGCCCCCTCTTATTAACATCATTTGGTGCTTGAGATCAAATAGGGACAGTGAATGATCATCAGGGAACAAGATTGGTATAAAAGCATTGATTGGTACGAAATGACTGTGTGTTATATGAGCAGCAGCGGCATGTTACAAAGAAAAGGCAATAATACAATTCAAAGATGTCTATCAAATATTATTTTATTGGGTATTATGATGCAAGAATAGAATAGAATGTTCTAATATTGTATAACCTTCTTCAATATCAAGGCTAGCATGCAGTTTTGTAGTTGGATTTATCCTCAGGAGACTGACAGTTGAGATGAAAGAAAAAAATAGAATTGTCACCGGTTTCCGTGAGATTTAAGCACCACATCATAATCGCACCCCGCTTTATGAACCACTGTGGGTGTGTATTTTAACCACTTCCTGTCCGGACACTTTTACCCCCCTTCCTGTCCAGGGCAATTTTCAGCTTTCAGCGCTATCACACTTTGAATGACAATTGCATCATGCAACACTGTACCCATATGAATTTTTTACCATTTTTTGAGGCAGATAAAGCTTTATTTTGGTGGTATTTATTCACCACTGGGATTTTTTTTTTTTTGCTATGTACATGAAAATATCCAAAAAATTCTGAAAAAAAGTTTTTCTTAAAAATTTTGCAAATAAATAATATTTCATCATAAATCTTGACCAAAATTGATTCCGTTATCTTTTTAGTAAAAAAATAAAAGAGAAAATTAGTTTATAACCAAAAATTATAATTTTTAAACATTTTTTTTATATTTCTGATTTTATTTTTTTATATTATTATTTTTGTTTTTGTTTTTGTTTTTTTTTTTACATACTGTCACCCTAGCAGTACAGTGTCACACTTACCAGGGGCGGACTGACAACTCATGGGGCCCCCGGACAATAGGGGATCATGGGGCTCTCTGTGTGCTTGCCCACACTTATAAAAAAGGTGGGGTGCCCGATGATGAGTCCGCCCCTGCACTGTACTACTTTGGGGGTTGATTTTTTTTTTTTTTTGTACACTGATTGCTTTTACACCCATATAGGATGTAAAAGCAATCAGTTCTCTTTCTCTCTGTCTGCATTCTTGCAGCCATTGAGAACTACTGAGTGAGCTGTGATTGGTCACAGCTTGTCACATGGTACAAGGCTGTTGTGAATAGCCTTGTACCATGTGACCTCTGTGATCATTCACAGATTTCACACATAGTAAGCAATGATGTCACAAGTGACATCTTGCTTACTACTTTGCATGTGATCACTGATTGGCCAATCAGTGATCACATGATCGGGACCTCGTATAGAGGTCCCGTCCGATGATCGGTGTTTCACTGTGTCCGGAGGACACAGCGGGCACCGGATCACGGTGCTCGCGCTCCCAGAAACCCCGAAATCAGTTTGCAAAACATGCGATGTGCAGAATCAAATCCATGGATGTTCACACCCATGCGATCTGATTCTGCTGCGGAACTAAAAAAGGGTCCTACACTTTTTTGGTGCGGATGCTATGCGATTTGAGCTATACAAAATTGTGTATGGCTCAAATAGCGCCACACACAAATCGCATGTGATTTGCACAAGAATGTGGTGCAGTTCCTGTGCAAATCACATGCGATGTGCCGCACAGCATTAGTGTGAACCCGGGCTTTCTCTGCTGACTTGGGTAATGGCCCAGACACTAAAAGCTGTATAGACTGTCCTGGACCACATAACATTTCAAACTCTGCTTTTAGCTTTTTTTTTTCTAGCAATGATTTCAGCAGATAAGCTCAGTAAAGAAATGCCCATAGCAAAAATAAAGAAGAAATAGCGCAGGGCATACATGACTAGGCCCAGAGTGGGGGAAGGAGGAGCAGAAAGGGTTAAGGTTAGCTCCAGGGGGTTTGTTATTGATAGTGGGGGGTAGCTGATTGGTAGAGGTTGGTGTAGGTGGGGTTTTGCTGCACCTTAGTGTGGGAGGTTCTGTGAGGGGGCGTCAGGGCGAACTGGATGGCAGGAGTGTGAGCTTCCCTCCCGCCCTCCCTGTTTGGGTGAGTATTGGGTGCCTCCAGGAAGAGGGGGGGTTATGTTGGTTCATGGGCGGTTGTTGGTCTTTGGAGGCAGTTTCTTATCTTGGAAGGTAAACAATAATGGTGTGGGACCC